CATAAAGTTAAATTATTATTTTACTTTTTGGTTGAAAAAATTAAAGCTTTGATTATAAGGGTATTTTAGTATTTTTCATGGGCTTATTGGTTATTAAACGTTTAAACGGGGTATGGTAATTTCATGTTTATTTGCATGGTGAAAATATTATTCTATCTCTAATGTCAACAAAATTAAAACTTGTTGTCCATGGGTTTTTTTGACCTTTTAGAAATTGTTAAATAGTTAAAATGCATCTTTAGCCTTAGAAAATACAAAAAATAAGCTTTCTATATGTGAATATTTTTGTTCTTTCATACTGTTTTTTGTGTAATTTTCTATAATTATGAGGGCATTTTGATAGTTTGGTATTATTTTATTATTTTTAAAGTGAAAAAGCTATGTTTGACCCATGTTTACTTGAGTTTGACAAACATACTTAATCCAACTTACTTGGGTGCTAGACCCAAGCCGCTAGGGTTTGACAACCCTGGGCAAGTATATTATTACACCATAGATTTTTCAAGCTCTAAATGCATGAGATGAGGCTAATGTTTCTTTTTCATATAAAATTAAATTATCATTTTGCTTTTTAGTTGAAAATATTAAAACTCTAGTTGTGGGGATATTTCAGTATTTTTATCATTTCACGCTATTTGTTTATAATTTTATATAATCATAGAGGACATTTTGATATTGTTTTATTATTTAAATTGAAGATATTTGAATCAATATTTTAGGTCTAGCATGGTTATCAAATCCATATTACTTGAATCTGACAAAAAAATAAATAAATTTTTAGGTTTAATAAAATTATTAAAATATTTTTTACATACTCTTAATATTTTTTTATATTTTAAAATAAAATTAATATTACTCTACCGCGTAAATAAGCACAAGTAACAATTATGCTCATTGATGTCATATCGTTTTCGGTCTCTTTTATCCATATATGCAATGTACTTGTGCACAGAGTTGGAAAGGCTATCTAAAGTGAAATGACTTTTTTTTTTATATATATAAAATGATATAATATAGTTGTAAGTGCCCACGCCATTATCCCATCCTGCATGATATTCAAAGCTTAGTTTGAACTCCATGATAAAACTTCAATTCCAAACGAATTGAAATTGGATGCATGCATTATATATTCACATCTTGTTAATTGTTTGATTGAGAAGGAATTTCTGCAGACCTTTTCTGCAATGTAATTAAAACCGATCTGAAAAGTGGAATAGTGTGGTTGAATCATTTGATCAATAACATGTAATAATAAATGTACCAAATTTGAAACCTTGTAAAATTTGCCCCCCTTTTCTAGCCTTTTTCCAGTAAACCAAGCACTATCCATATATAGTATTAACTTTAGGTAACATCATAAGATTTTAGATAGCTGAACACAATCATATGTATTTTTCCTTTTGGCATTTAGATAGCTGCTGCGTAGTAAATGCCAAAATAGAGGGATTAAACCAATAATTCAAGTCTCAGATTTTATTGACATCGAATATCGTGTAGCGTAACTTTCATCCATAATCCTTGTCTCCTAGGAGATCATTTATGTTCCAGTACTTTCTTTCTTGCAAGATTTATTACCCATGATCTGTAAAGGGCCGGGTAAATTTTTATCAAAGTAAAAAAAAATTATAAAAAAATCCAACACTTGAGTTATTAGTTTAATTGTTAATTTAAATAATTAAATAAAAAATACAATAATAATAAATACACTAATAAAAAAACAAAAAAAAGTAAAGAAAACCAGACTTAAACCTATTCGGATTATCAAACAATTCAATATTAAATAATGAAATTATAAATATAAAAATAAAAATAATTTTAAAAAAACATATTAAATTAGGTGAACTCGAAAATCCCATGACCAAGAGCATAAAATTGAGATAATCTCATAAAAAAATTAGGGGAAAAAGTTTGAAGAATAAAGTTCAAATCTATTAATTTTTTTTTAAGTGAACCATCATTAACCTAAAACTAATCCAATAGAAGGTAAATAATAAAAAATAATAAATCAAAACTAAAAATTAAAAAAAAAACATCAACTTAATAAACGAGAAAAAAATAATCAAACTCTGGCGAATATCCTAAATTTTTTCTAATCTCTAAAACTTGCAACCCATGAAATACTGGTTCTAGATTCAATTAAGAAGGTTAATTCTCAAATAATTTAATTCTGAATGATGAAATCATGAAAAAAAAATATTAATAAAAAAACTTGCAAAAGCAAAAAAAATAGTAACAAAAAGAATAGAGATAAAGTTTAATAGAAAAAAATTAAAAAATAATTCCAAATAAAATAAATAGTATATAAAATAATAAGTATCAAATTTGATAAATTAAAAAAAATCAAAGAGTTATGAAATTTAAAAATATTTATAATTTTATAGCTTATTAAAAAAAATCAAAAGGACAAAGATCAAATGTGAATTGAAAAAAAAAAATGGATGATCTGAAATTTTGAAGGGACTGATGCTAAATTCAAAGAGGAGAGAAAGGGAGAGTGAGAGAAGAAAACTAATGAAAAAAAATACAAAAAAAATATCATCGACTTTAAACCAGAGACGCTCTAGTCTACACCTACCGAGCAAAGGGTGCTGAGATCTTCCAAAAGCCTTTATGAAAGGTGGTATTTGGTGGATGAACGGCTCTACACGGGATTGTATTTTTAATAATATTTAATATATATTATTGAGTAACCTCCAAATTTAAAATAAAATTGATGTAAAATGATCAAAAAATCCATAAGTGAAAGGCATTCTATTTTTTATTCTAGGGTTAGAGTAGTAACTTTACTATGCAAAAAAATGACAAATATAACTTCATACAATATGTTAAAGATAATTATAATATAGTAAAAAGATCACTTTACCCTTGATATCTAGTTCAATAGGTTTTTTTTAAGAGCAATTTCATAATTATACTATTAAACTAATTAATATTTTAAGTTACATTGTAACTTCTTCAAAAGAATTAATTTTTTTAATAAAAACAATTACTCATGGATAGTCAAAATTAAAAGCATATATGCACAAATGTGCTCATTTAAAAGCATATATGCACAAATGTGCTCATTTAAAAGCATATATGCACAAATGTGCTCATTTAAAAGCATATATGCACAAATGTGCTCATTTAAAAGCATATATGCACAAATGTGCTCATTTAAAAGCATATATGCACAAATGTGCTCATCACATGTTATCAAATCAAACATTAAGTAATTAATAAAGTGATAAGAATAATGATTTTAAAAAACATTAATCTTTTTGAAGTTACCAAGAATAAAAAGACATAAGGAATTAGATTTGGACAATTTAACACTTGAAAAATAAATTCTTTGAAAAAGATGAGAATTCTTCTATGCCTAAATCAATTTATAAATATGAGCTGAGAGTTTTAAGATGTAACACTCCACCTAACTAGCAAGATATTATCTACTTTGACTTACAGGCCTTACAAATTTGTTCTTAACAACTATGCATGACTTTAAAACATTTTACAAGTTAAGGTGAGCAAGTTAATATAATGCCCTACTCCAAGTCCTTCTCACCTGTCGATGTGAGATATTACAATCCATCCTCTTTAAAGAGCTTGATGACCTCATCAAAATTACCAGTCTACCTTGGCCGATAGGCCTTATAAATTTGTTAATAGCAGTTATGCATGGCCCTAAAATGTATATTACTTGTCAAGATGAGTGTGGTCATATAAAGCTATTCCCCGAGTCCTCACCCGCCGATGTAGAATAGTACATGTGAGGTAATGCATTCATATATGGTGATTAGTTTGGGTGTATCAACTCTATTTGAGGTTGGTCATTACTTCGGCCTTTATCGGTGAGTAATAACTATTTGATCTATCATCTGCTATTGGTTTATTTTTAGAAAAAAATTAAATATGTTGATTTTTTCAATGTATTTTTTATATAAAAAATATACATGAATTAGAATAAATGCTTCAAAAATTAAACTCATAAAAAAAATACTATTTAAAAAAGGATAAATACAAAAAAAAGAAGAAGAAGAAAGAATAGATATTAATTGAAATATAATTTTAAAAATTATTAAAAATACATGATTTTTTTACAAAAGAAAAAATTACAAAAAAAAAAGTAAAAGGTTAGGCGCTGCTGGGTCTATCCCATTAAAAAAAGGCCCATATGTGGGCCTGCAAGAGGCCTTTTTAAAAAAATATAATCACAAAGGACGCCTTGTCACCCGTCTCGTTATTTTTTGAAAAAAATATTTCAGATAATGTGTCGTGTGGAATTCCTAAGATTTCAGCTATTGTGGTGGTTGAAAAACAGAATATATATTTTTTTTTATTCAAAAACCAAGTTTTGACCAAAACAATTAGAAAATAGCACAAATATCTTTACAAACCCATAAAATGACTTTAAAAAAACTACTTAAAAATCCAAAATCAATTCAAAATCAAAATTCTTTTTGAGTTTAGATCTAGTTTTAGGCCATTTTAAAATTTTAAAAAAAAATGAAACTCTCCTTATAAAATAGAACCCTTCCAAACCACAATCGACCATTTAATGGTTGAAATCAATGAAATCATCGAGTTTCTTTTTTTATTATTAGATTCTGGTGATCTTTTTTTTAAAAAAAAAATTAAATATTTAAAAATAACAAAAATGAATTTTTTTTGTCAAACTTGAATTGAAAAAATATTGAACAACTGACTATATATATATATGTGTGTGTGTATTATAAATTTCAAGCATCAAAATAAATATATTTTTATACGAACGTTAAAACCTTTTCTGTTTGGATCTCTTTCATTTAATTTTGTTCTTTATCATTAATTTTGAGTTCAAAAAAGATATAAGTTATAGATCACAGGGAACGATCTTGTTAGGCTTAAAACTTCTAGGTTCCAAAACCATGAACTTCATTTCAAATGAGAATCGTACGTTTAAAACACACAGGCCAGCATGGAGTCTATGGACGCTAACTTCATTTGTGTCTTATGCTTTGCGGTGGGCTTCAAGTCCATAATAACATGGAAACAAATTTTTATAATATTAATTTCAAGTAGTGGGTACACGAAGAACATCAACCCCTGGCCCTTGACAAAGTATAGCCATAATAGGTAAACAAGAAGTAAAACAAATTAACACGCAATATATTCTCTATAAAAGGGAAAGAAGAACAGAAGAAAATTCTCTAGGAGAACAAAACACAAGATATCCTATATAAAAATGCTTCATTCTAGCCATTTGAAGATCCCTCGTGCAGTTATTCTTTAATTATGCTTTCAAGCCCACACATGTATACTCTGTGAGTTGCAGCACAACCTGCAATCATCGAACACAGAAGACAAACTATGAATTAATATTTTTCTAATTAACTGAACATCTAGTCAAAATCAATACAAAAAATCATTTATATATAGAAGAATTCTGAAGATTGAAGCTAGGCAGTACCTAATTAATTAGGAAGGACACTTGAACCCTTCAGGTGGGGTCTTGCCACAGTCAACAAGGAGCTCAAGAGCAATGGGTATAATAAGATTGATGTTGAGAAGTTTAGCCTTGATAGCGGTGCAAAGGCATAAAGCAGCATCCAAGTCTACAAGACCTTCCAGCAGTGGGCAGCAACTGGATGGATTCAAAATAATGTTATTTCAAGGATTTTTTTTTTAAATAAATGGTTATTGTTTGAAATTTTTTACAAATTAAATCAGATTTTAACTCTCATTCAATTTAATTTAAAATATGATAGTACTTGCCAAGCTGTGAATTGGTTATCAAATTGATTAGTTGGGTTTGGCAAGTTTATAAATAACATTGTTTTAATTACATGGTTCATTAGCATTAGAATGTTGTATTATAAGGAACACTTTACTAACTATCTCTTTCAGAACTTTAATCTTAAATCATTAATGTAAACTTCTATCAAATGAAATATGCAATTTTCTTAGAGAGAATAAATCTTTATATGAAGAACAACATATATAAGAGGACGAGCAACGCTCGGGTTATTGGCACTCAATCATAGACTTGTAATTGTGTCGGCCGCATAGTCACAAAAAATTAAAATAGAGAAAACCACTAGCTTGATGCATGCTTTTCTTGCATTAGAATTTCCAAACAACTAACGTGGCTTGATTTGCATAATTGCTCGAGAGATTAGGATATCTATTCTTAGAGTATGTGGTGGATAATATTTAGAGATTTCAAGTAATAATCTTATTATTTTTATTTATTTAATAAAAAATTAAATAAAAAATAATATAAATTTATACAAGTTTTAAATCTAAAAAACTTTTACTTTAAAAAATATATTAGGAAATAATATAAATGATCATATCTTAGAATTTAACTTAACAAATTAAACTATTAAATTAAGATGATTTCTTGACATTAAAATATATATTCTTAGCTTTAATAGTCAATAAGAATTAGAGTTTTCAAAAGTTGTAATGTTGATAGAAATTTGCAATATTAAGATAATTATATTTATGTTATAGGATAATTTAAGTAACTTAAAAAAATAAATATATTTTTAATAATTATAGTGCATTTAAAAAATTAAAAGAATGCTTTGATTTCAAAATTAATTCTAATAATATATTCATATTTTGTTTTGTTTTGTTTCAGGGGCTTATATTTTGGTGGGATTGATTTTTTTTTTTTTATGGAGAAATCTCTTCAGTGAACTCTTTAGCAATGATATTAAAATTATCAAACTATTGAATTACTATGTAATGGTTCAAGTAGTGGAATTACATTGGCCAAACAACTGGATCAATAGCATTATAATATAACTTCTTTTTTCCAAAATTAAAATTATAGAACAAGAAATGATAAAGTGGTATTTGCATAATTTGTGAAGGTGAGGTACCAGATTCGGAACCATGAAGAAAGGAATTTTTTTTTTTTGAAGGAAAAAAACCAGATCAATGTCAAATTCGACTATCCAACCAATCATAATTTTTCATATTTAGCATGTTTTGATCGAGATTTATCTCAACCTTATGTGCATGCTCCATTGCATCAACTTAGATACGTTGGATGGCTACATCATTGGATTTTCTATCCCACCGAACTTCTTGACATTAATAGTTATAAACTAAGCAAACTGGGCACAGCTACCAATTGAGCCGACGACATGGCTACTTGCTCACGAGGATAGGCGGCGATTGGGAAGTTTCATTCTCACTTCACACCGTAGCTAGACTGGGTATATGTATGTCCAAAAAAGACAACTTGCAAGGCCAGCTCTTATCGATGGCACATCCTTTTGGATTATTAATTCTTTTATCAAATTGGTGTTCGTCTTTTTGGGCATCATTCTTCTCCTTTAGTCATCCAAGAAGATATATATATATATATATATATATATATATATAGTCTTTCGTCTAAATAAACTCTTTATCACCACCAGTGACATTGACTGGTGATGACAGTGTAGTTGCCCTCTGAATTCAGTCCAGTGAAGAAACTATACAATGCATGCATGTGAATTCAAGCTGCAAATGAATTACATTTCATGGAGAGAGAGTGAAATTTGTTGTTGCCTTCGACCGACATCACCCTGTGTCTCTCACTCATTTCATCGAGGTTTCACCCAGCCACAGTACTGCTGGCCTGCTGATCAGTTTATGAATGTATTGTTTTTTAAAATATTTTTTATTTAAAAATGTGTTAAAATAATATTTTTATTTTAAAAAATTATTTTGAATATTAATATATTAAAATGATATGAAATTATTAAAAATATTTTAATTTAAAGTAAAAAATAATAAATAATAAATCACTTTTTAATTGCAATTAATGCCGAACACTGGCTCGCCATTGCTATGTGACATGTTGCTCGTACTCGTATCCAATTGTCAGGTTTGTCAAATTCAAAATTTTAGAATATGGAAACACCGATTGAATTCTGCTAAGGTCAAGGTAACACGTTATAAAATATATTAAATGATTTGCTCGTGCTATGTTAAGTTGTAAATCAAGTTAAAAAAAAATTAATGTAAAAAAATATATTTAAATATTGTAATTTTTTTCAAAAAAATTATATTATATAAAAATTTACTTGATATAATATAGTTGATTTTGCTAGTTGAAAAATATATTAACATACACTCTACTACAAGGTGTAATTTTCATTTTGAAAAAAAAAAAACTTGGGTATGGGCTATTTTGATATTTTTTTATATTAAAAACCTCAAAGTTTAAATAAAAAAAATTATATAAATATTTAATTAAATAAATCGATAATTATTTATGGATATAAAAGAAAAAATGTTATTAATAATAACTAAAAAAATCAATAAAATTGATAAATAAATATAAATTAAGATATTTAATCTCATAAAATAAGACATTTACATGTTTGCACATACTAATTTTTTTATTAAAATCAATAAAAAGTAATAGAAATATATATGAAACTCAATGAATAAAATAAAAGAAAAAAATATAATTCAAGGCCTGAAATATCAAAAATATTATTTTAAAATAAATACTTTCTTATAAAATAAAGCTTATATGTATAAAAGAAAAAAAATTATCCAACACAAAATATATATTTTTTTTAAAAAAACCTCTATTTAAAAAAGACTGTGAAACTAAAAACAATAAAACTTTAACAAAAAAATCATGGAAAAAAATAAAAATTTAAAATAATAAGGATGAAATTGAAAAAAATAAGATATAAAAAATTATAATTTATGAATTAAATTAAAAATATTAAAATTGTTTCTCAAAATGCCAACAATGAAAATAAAAAATAAAAACATTAGGGATAAAATTAAAAAAGAAAAAAAAAGAGAAAAAACGTGCAGTTTCTAGGAAAAAGAGAGAAAAAATGATCATTAACAATTAACCATCCATCCATCATCATTATGCACCATACTGAAAGGAAAAAGGCTAGGTGGTGCTTCCAATAACACACAAGAATGCATGAGGAAAATATTCTAACAAATTTTTAATTAAAAAATAATTATTAAGCATATAAAGTTCAAAATATCTTCATGATTTTGTTTATGATTTTAGAATCATAAAAAATATTAACATAAAAAGATAAAATCATTCATGAACATATCCTTTATTTTTTCAATTCTAAAGGCAAAAAAAATTATTTGCCTGTTCTAAAAAAGGAAAAAGATAAAAATCCCCAATGTAAATGGATTTTTTTATTTATTTTAGAAATAAATAAGTCATTTTATTATTCTAAAAAAGTGAGGAGATGACAAAATAGCCCCTGACAAGCCATTAAAAAAACCGAATTACTCTCCTAACAAAAGCATCTATTTTTCTCGAAGGACAAAAGCGTGATTTAACCTTCACAGTAAACAGTCCTTTTGTGTTTCTGTGTGCACAATGATTTCTATCGGCATCACCATCTATTATTTCTGTAAATAATAGCACGACAGGCTCATAGAAGAAAGTAAAAACAAAGAAAGATAGGACTACAGGCTCATAGAAAGTGAAATGTTGGCGATGTTCCTCCATACCTTCTCGGTCATCTTGTCGGCCTACAATATCTTGAGCACATAAAATACATGCACAAGAGTCCATTCCATGCCAGTGTAATTTCCTTTTCCTTTTCTATTTCTAGCTTTACAGGCGAACCCATTGCTGCCCATTTATAGTACATTAGGTCACATCACAAGCATTTTCTGGAGAAAGAGAGATGGTCTTGGTCGACAATCGAGTACACATTTCAATTCAGTATGGATTATAAGAGAAACCACTTGTTTTTCTAAAAAAAAGGCCAATCCATTTAATTTAGCTTGAGGATCATCCATAATCCTTGTCTCGCAAGGAAATTCATGTTCTAATTTCTCTCCTATAAAAACACGCCATTCTCATCACATTTTGATCAAATTGAACATTAAGGAATCACTAAAGTGATAAGAATACATAAAGATTTAGACTTTGACATTTATAACACAAGAAGAAAAAATTAAGGGGTGCTAAATTAAAAAAATATATTTTAAAAAATTAAAATTTTACCCGGTCCTGGATTCTCTTATGCCTAAATTCATGTGATAAGTGGTTCTGGATGCATGAAGGCCGTTTGGGGTTCAATTAATCTTTTATAAAATCCCCTATCGGCGGGCATGGTCCTGTGAGGCCTCATGGCCAACTGAAGTCCAATTTAATGCTGGACGCTTCATATTTGTTGGATTCTAGGGGCCTAGAAACCATCACCTTTGTTTTAGAGGAGAAAATTGGGCGCTCAGGCCGTCTGAAACACGAATTTATTTGGATATAACGATGGGGAATATATTACTTGTTATTTTTAAAGTATTTTTTATTTAAAAATATAATATAATAATATTTTAATTTTAATTTTTTAAAATTATTCTTAAAATTATATTAAAATGATATGAAAACATAAAAATAAATATTAATTTAAAATAAAATAAATTTTTTTCAAAGAACACTTTGGGAAAACAAACAGTCCCTAAATTATAAGCGAGTCACGTGTAAATAAAATAAACCCCGGCTCCGCGACAGAGTATAACGCATAATAAGCAAAGCAAATTTAGACAGTATATTATATCGTAAAGGGGAAAAAGGAACATAAGAAAATCCACTAGGAGATCAAAACATAGGATATCCTATTGAAGCATGCTTCAT